CGGCTGAGCAGGAGTGGGGAGGGGTCAGGTCCTGGCCGCGGTGGCCCTGGACAGGGAACAAATAGCCCCTTCCCAGCTGGCCTCTGCCCCAGGGGTGGGTGGTGGACACAGATACTCTCATACGCCGAGCCGAGGCCGAGAGGCCCCTGGGGCAGGGGGCTCTGGGGCAGGAGCGGCCATCGGGGTCCCAGCGGTGCTCCAGGCCACCTGCCTGGCCCGCCCTCGGCATCGTGGAGGCCCCGGGACCAGCGGGTGAGCCGCGCGGAGCGAGGGCCGAGGGCGACACCTGGTGGCCAGACGGGCGCATCACAGGCAGGACCGGCCCCAGGGTGCCAGAGCGCGTCCCTCCCAAGGCGCCCCCCACCCCCAGACCTGGACTGGGCCGCGAGGGAGAGGCCCGAGCCAGTTCCGGAGCCCCCGCCCTGCCCCATGGGGCTGTCACTGCGTCCCTGCAGTCCCGTGCAGTGGTTCTCATTGTCCCCTGTACTGAGATGGAGAACAGCCACGTGGCCAGATTCTGGGATTCGGTGAAGCCCCAGGTGAGAGGCTGACTGGACCTGCCGGGTGTCTCAGTCTGAGACCTGTCCAGCTCCCCAAGGGCACTGTTGCCATCGCTGGGGGCCGTGTCACGGGACACCCGCTCCCCTTGCTTCAGTCCATGTAGCTGCCACCCCCGGGCTCTGCTTTTAGTTTCATTGATTGATTGATTGATTGACAGTACTGGGGACTTTTCCCATCCATGTGCCCAAGTGGGTGGCAGTCCTGTAGCTTGGCTTTGGTAGGAGTCTGGGTTCCAATTTGCCACCTGGCCAAGGCCACATTCTCTGAGCCCCAGGGTAGCCATGAAGTCCTAACCCTTGGGACATCTGACATTAGCAGATACCCCCCCCCCACTTGAGGGCACGTTGCCACTCTAAACCCCAAATTCCCCTCCCTTCTGCCGGTTGGGGGATCTCCTCTACTTTCCTTCAAACTCTGCTGTGTGCTTAAAACCTGCTCAGTTGTCCCTCTGTATTAGAGGGGACTGGTTCCAGGACTCCCTGCTCCCGTCATGGATCCCAAAACTGAAAGATGCCAGTTCCTTATATAAAATGATCCTCTCTAATATTTTTACATTACTCTCTCTCTAATATTTTTACATCACCTACATTGTAGGTGATCCAGGTACCATGGTGTATGCTTATAATCCCAGCAGCTGGGGAGGCGAGACCCTGTCTCTAAATAAAATACAAAATAGGGCTGGGGATGTGGCTCAGTGGTCAAATACCCCTGAGTTCAATCCCCAATACCCCCCCCCAAATAAAATAAGATAAATATTTTTAGTTGTAGATGGACACAATACATTTCTTTATTTATTTACTTATGTGGTGCCGAGGATAGAACCCAAGGCCTCGTACGTGCTAGGTAGGGGCTCTACCACCCAGGCACAACCCCAACCCTCTTTCTTTCTTTCTCATTCCTTTTTATTTATTTAGTGGTGCTGGGGATTGAACCCAGGGCCTTGGGCATGTGAGGCAAGCACTCAACCGAGCTATATCCACAGCCCATCTTTTATATTTTTTTGAGACAGGGTTTCACTGAGTTGCTTAGGACCTTGCTAAGTTCCTGAGGTTGGCCTTGAACTTGCGATCCTCCTACTTCAGCCTCTCCAGTTGCTGGGGTCACAGGGGTGTGCCCCCGTGCCCAGCCATATGAGTACTTAATGGACGTTCGGGAGCACAGTGAACTACAGCACTGAACCCCTGAGTTCCCACATCTGCAGTAGCTGGACCTACGGGAAGCTGAGGAAGGAGGATGGAAAGTTTGAGACCAGCCTGGGTGACTTAGTAGGACCCTGTCTCAAAATAAAAAAATAAAAGGGACTGGGATGCACACCTGTAATCCCAGCTTGGGAGGCTGAGGCAGGAGGATGCAAAATTCAAAGCCAGCCTCAGTAACTTAGCGAGGCCATATCTCTAAATAAAAATGAAAAATGGTCTGGGGATGTGGGTAAGGGGTTAAGCGCCCCTGGGCTCAATCCCCAGTACCAGTAAGTAAATAGGGCTGGGGTGTGGCTCGGTGGTAGAGCACTTGCCTAGCATAAGAGAGGCCCTGGGTTCCATCCCCAGCGTGGGGGCGGGAAATAGAGCCAGATAAAGAAATCACTGTTAGTACCGTATTAATTGCTGCTGGACTGTTGCACTATGGATATTTAAGTCAGTGTGAAAATTTAAAGGAAAGGCTGGATATTTGCCTGACCTCAAAGTATCAGCTCCAGGATTTGTATGAATTATGATGTAGCGAAGAGTACTCTCTTTTATTTGGATTTTTTTGAGGTACTGGGGCTTGGGCTCAGGGCTTCCACATGTGGGCAGGTGCTCGGCCCCAGAGCCGCACCCGGGCCCTAGAAAGTGTGATCTGACGGTGGAGGGCCCCAGCACACATCGCCTTGAGCTGGGGGACATCCAGGAGCGTCACCAGCCATGATGAGTCCTGCGCTGCCCCAGGGGCCCATCATCTCTGCAGGGTCCTCCGATGACGCACAACCTCAGGTAATCAGGAGAAAATGCCAGGCCACCCCAAAGGGAGGGACATTTGTCCAAAGAGCTCTTCAGTGGCCACCGGATGTGTCAAGGCAGGAAAGACAGAGGGCTGAGAAACTGTCATGGGCTGAAGGATCCTGGGACAGAAGGACACTTTCTACCCATGAACTTGTGAAATCAAGTCAAGCCACACGTGAGCTACCGGCATCGTGCCCATGTGCATTTTCTTGTTGGATCTTTATCCTGTGGTTGGGCGAGAAGTGGCCAAGGGGGATGGGATGCCACTCTTATCACAAGTCCTCTGTGAACCTTAAGCAGGCTCAAAATAATAGTTTAAAAATAGTTTCTGGGTGCAGAGGTGAATGCCTATGATCCCAGCTACCTAGGAGTCTGAGGCAGGAGGATGGCAAGTTGGAGGCCAGCCTCCGTAGCTTGGTGAGATCCTGTGTCAAAATAAAAACTAAAGACGTCTGAGTGGGTGTAGCTCAGTGATACAGTCACCGCAGGGTGGTGTGGAGATGCCCTCTGTATGCAGAGCAGCCCTCTGAACCCAGACTGGACCCTGGGGAGAGTGTCACCCCCAAATGGGATCTCAGGACAGGGACCCCTGTGACCAGCGAGGGCTGTCTGAGCTCCTGGGGCTCCTCCTGCACCCAGGGAGTCAGCCCCCCACTGACCTGACCCCTAAATGGGACCCTCAAGTGTCCCCAAGACACACCTGGGCCTGAACTCTCCGCAGGGTGGTGTTGTCTGGGACACGGCCCCAGCCCCGCGGTCACAGCCTCTTGGTTTGCTTGGCTTGGCCAGGGCTCCGTGCTCCCCACCACCACCCATCCTCCAGGGCCCCCATCTTCTCTCAGGTTCCTTCCTTCTGCCTGTACCCGCTGGTGCCAAGCCCTGGGCAGGAGACTCGAGCCCCGTGCCATCTGGCCTCAAGGCCAGTGCACCCCAGCCCCGGGGCAGTGAGTCCACCTGGGCTCCAGCCACATACACTTTCTCCCTGTCCCACGGTCCCCGCTTGCTCCTCCTCCTCCTTCCTCCCCTCACCAGCACCCTCTTCTCCACAGCTGGGAAGCCACATGCCTGTCCTCCATGGTGTGAGTGGGCTTGCCCTCTCCTGGGACCCCACATCCCGGCACGGAGTTCCCACTGAAGGTCAAACTAAATGGGCTGGGACACACCTTACGCAGGGAAGGGTGACCTCTTAGCCTCCTGTGCTGTGGGTCAGTGAAAAGGAGTCGGGGGTCCCAGTGGTGTTTGATGTCTGGGGGAGGAAAGGACCTCTGGCAGACTCTGAGGGCCACACCAGCTGAGCTGGTGAGGTAAGTTCTGGACGCGGAAGGCCACTCCTATTCTGAGCACAGAATCTCAAAGGCCAGGGTGGTGTTTGGAGCTCTCTGGGATCTGTCTCTTGAGAGAGAAGGTGATGACTGTTCTCCATGGGGTGTCACCCTTTGTTCTGGGCAGTGCCGGGGCTGGCCTCAGCCTCTCTAGCAGTGTCCCCTGCCTTGGCTTCTGGTTGGGGTCAGCCAAAGGAGTGCTATCAATGAAGGCGGAAGGGGTGGGTATCTGTTCCCCCAGCTCCTTTGCTTTGCCCTTTGGGGAAGAAACAGCCCCTCAGGGACTGTTGTGACTCCCCTGTCCCTTCCTCTGACCCTCCAGGCCTCTTTTCACACAGCACGTGACCGGGTTCCTGTGCTCAGCTGTTCACCTCAGGAGCCTTGCTCAGTCTGCAGTGCAGGCAACCTCCCTGCAGCAGGAGCAGCCGACAAAGCTGTAGGAGGGGAGCCCTGGCTGCTCTCTGGCTCAGAGGCCACCTACCCACTGAGCTGTGAGCACCCTGGGCACCCAGGAGCCGGGGGAGCCTGCTGTGGGGGGGGGCCTGCTTCCCCGGACCCACTGAGCAGCTTCAAGTGCAAACTCAGCCTGAAGCAGGGGTCTTTGGTCTGTCTGGCTCTCTCTGGAGGCCTTGGGGGTCCTGGCCCTGGCTGTCCCAATGGTGCTCCTCTGTCCGCTCCCACCCAGGTTCCCCTCTTCCCAAGTCCTCCAGGACTCCTGGCCCGCGGTGCCCAGCACCGAGGGAGGCTCCGGGGAGAAGCAGACAACGCATGGTGCTGCACCTCGGTCACAAGCTTTATTGTCCCGAGCACAGAGGCGCCACACTTCCACAATTCCAC